CGTCTCAATGACATTCAAATTTGGTGATCAAACGTAAAAAAGTTTCCTCAAACATATGGTGTGATGATACATCACTGACTCTGGTGACATCTAATATTGATTGGGCATTGTTTATAGACTAATGATGCTTGGTGGTCCCTCGGGTGTCATGTCCATTTAATCATCTATTCAGCGGCGCTATCCTTTAGTACACATCTCCAACAGAATGAGATCAGTTACTCGTATTTGTATAAAAAATACGTACTGAGTGTCGGCGAGATGTAAGCAAACCAAGAATAGTCCGATAACAATGTAAAGAATGTTGGCAAATTTAGCTTCATTTTTTTTGAGATATGTATATTGAATGAAATTTCTCTGAACGACGAAGCCCACCAAATTGGTATGTCACATCGACGTGATTTTCAGACGTCATCGATACGTCACTGCAACGTCATAAAAGTGACGTTTTCAATAGGTACACCTATTATCATATTTGTATATATACAAATGGTAACTTTCTTCTAACTCTGCTTGCATATACATAGTGTCCCAAACTCGATGACCTATATTATTACACGTTTCTGGAAAACGAAACATAGGATTAATTTTTGAAAATTCAATGCCTTTGGTAATCAGTACTGCTCAAACATTCTAGAATATTTTCGGCTCTGTGGCGTTGCTGCATTAATCAAAAAGTAGCAACAATTTTGTCATTTCGATTTTTTTTTCTATTATTTTAAACCAATAAAAACGTTCAAATGAGTGAAGCTACCTTGTATAATTTCGATTATACGTGGATATACATAGGTTAGCTCCACCAATCAGAAATGTATAATTATTTCCATAGTAACTTATTCATACTGTCACAAACATTAACAAAGCTCGTCGTCAAATTTTGACGTTCATTCAGACTACTCAAAAAATAATCGCATCGAATACAATTCGAACTTCAAAATATTAAGGTTATACATCTCAAACTTCCTGCACATTTTTTATAAATCGTTTGAGTCGTTCGCGGTCGGATTATTTCAACCGTTAAACTGACACTCTTTGTAATAATTATACAACAAGTTATCGATGTATAACCTGAATATTTTTGAAGTACTTATAGTATTACTACTACATAAATATAACAGATATATTATTGCATTCTCAGATTCTTTCTGAACAGCAATTTCATCGGTCTATTTAACTTATTGGGCTCTAGGGATTACGGAGATATCGGGTGTGAAAATTCGAGATTTTTCAACTTCAGGAATTTTATGTGTCGAAACTAAACTCTTCATCATTGGTTGAATCGGCTTTCATGTCCCTATATCTTGATTTTTCATTTACTATCAATTCATATTCAATTGGAACAGAAGTGTGATGGATATCGGTGAAATCCGCTGTTCAGGAAGATTCCAAAAATATTATGAAATATAGGGTGTTCCCTTCGAAATAACAAAGTTATTGCTACTTTTCGATAGAAGCAGCAACTTTGCATCGCCTTAAGTATTCTAGATCAACTATAGGATCGATAAAATACAGAACTGATTTCCAAAGAAATCATATTTCTGATTCTATGTCACATTCTCCAGAAACGTTCAATAGAGGTTGGGACACCCTGAATGTATTATACACACACATATCGATCTATATAGGAACATGACGTTGACTCGACATCCCTGCAACGTCATGAAAGTGACGTCTTATTTTATATCCAAGTGACGTTTACTCAACACGTCGTATTGATGGCGTGATCATCACCTTGTTGGTGACTAATTGCTCTGCAGCGAGATCATTCTCTAAGCTGAAGCTGATCAAGAACAGACTCCGGACATCCATGTCAGAAGACAGGCTGAATTTTTTGGTCAACCATGAGAATATCATAATTGAACGCCTTCATTATGGATAAGCTTAGACGGAATCCAATCAGCAAGAGTGACTGAAGTGAACATGATTCTCAGTACATTTGATATTTAAAAAAGGATTAATTTGAGTTATATACTCCTCTTGTTGACTTGTACAGGGTTGGCAAATTTGGGCACTTTCAAAGGGAAAGTCCTATTTCCATGCAAGAAAAAGATCTGATGTCGGTGCATGTTGATCAATTCACATGACAAACTCAATGGTGAAAACCGCATATCGATATCTATATTTATTTCAAAGTTACAAGGTGTTCTTTGAAAAGTAGCTAACTCTTTTTTTTGGCAAAAATTCTTCGTTTCCATGAAAACATTTCTAAAGCATTGTGTTGGTCATGAAAATTGATCCTCAGGCACTGAAATCAGTCACCATATACCTAGTTGCAAAATAGAACTTTTCCTTTGAGAAAAACAAGTTATATAGTTGCAAAATAGAACGTTTCCTTCAAGAAGAACAAGTTATATTCTTGAACTAGATATAGAAACCTCGAGAACAATTTTGATCACAAACTCAATGCTTTGCAGTTATTTGCATGAGAACAGACAATTTTTTCAAAAAAAAAATCTGTAGCCAGTTTTACGAAAAACACCTTATTGTAAATACTGTCTTTAGGTTAATCGAGGAGGTGGTACATTCATTATTACAAGAAAAGCTTCAAGACATATACGACTTTGCTATTAGAATAATCTTTTCTTATGTTGAAAACGGGAGCAGAATCGGTCCCGAAACGTCCAAAGATAAGTGAAAATTTGATATTTTTTTTATATACCTTTATTTCTCTTCTCCAATCTTTTTTCAATACAAATTGTCACTGACAAAAGCTAGTGAATTTTTCTTTTAGGCTCTCTGATAGGAAAATGCTTTAAACGCAGTGACATTTTGGGGCAAATCATCTGATTTGTCCTTACTACACGTATATTGAAATAATATTCATATTTTTATTTTATAGAAACGAGGAGAGAAAATCCCAAAAAATTTGGAATAATATGAACCTTTATTGTAACTCCGAAACGAAGAAAGATATCGATATGCGGTTTTCACCATTGAGTTTTTCATGAGAATCGACCCTCAGGCACCGACATCAGTTTTCTTCCATCTGGTTTGGAAATTGGACTTTCCCTTCAAAAGTGTCCAATTTGGCCCACCCTGTACTTTTTTTTTCGTAGACGTTTCGTATCAGATAAACCTTCAACATTTTTTTTAAATGGGCCGTTACATGAGCATATACCTTGTATAAAATATCTCAACGCTGTTTTGTGCAGGTTGGAAGTGTCTTTCGCTTTTCAATCTCTTCAATTGACATCAGAAATTTTTTTTTTTTACAAAAATCGACAAATTTCGGTTTTTAGGCAAATCTCCGGAACTACTCGAAATTCTGAAAGTTTCTAATGACTTATCAAATGAAAATTAATATACTTTTTCAAATTCGTTGTTATACAGGCTGATTTGAATTGAATTCAAGACATACATACAGTGTGTCCCAGATTCGCTTCTCTATACAGGGATCTCGGCTCCTATTATACCTACAGCAGAGGTTGAATGGGGAAAGTTTTAGAGGAATCTTAGTGCATTCGATAACCGGCTTCAGATTTACGATCGGATGATTGGTTTTGGAAATATCGGCGAAAAACCGAAAATGACGGATTTCGTTTTTCGTCAGTAAATCCGAAACGGTTGATTTGACAGCTGTCAAAATGTCACATTATACGGACACTTTTTTAAGACGAATAAGATAGCATGTATGACATGTCACGATCGTATTTTGTTATCCCGCAAGCCGCCTCAACTTTCATTTCTCTTATGGCCGCCATATTGGAATTTTCAATTTTTGGAAAGAGCGTAAAATTTCCAGTCTAGTGATGTCTCACAAGTGCATAAAAGTTTTGAGTTTCATAGAAATATCACACTTCGTAAAGTTAGGTCTTGATTTTTTTTAAGGAGGCCATGATTTACTTGACAGAAAATAACACGCATAAAAAAACTCATGAACGCATTGAGATTTTGATAGAACATGAACGTGAATAACGACTTCTCAACAAGTAAGATATTTTGGGACAAATTCCCAACAATTGGTGTGTAAAAAAGAAGTCAGAAAATTCATTAATCTCAATCACCTGTGCCCCATCAGGATGAATCGCAACCACGCAGGCACTACTTTGCTGTTTCTGATTGGTCCGTAAAAGTCGCCTAGTAGTAATTCATGGTCATGAATTCTTGCTGGTAGCACACCATAAGAAGAATCAAAACAAAGATCCTTTCTTGACAGTTTGTTGTTCTGAGAATGTATGTTATTTTGGAAAACGTCAAAACGTGATACTAGTAAATGTGAAGTTTTGTTTCTGACAATTTGCTTGGAATGTAACGATGCATTTCTCAAACATTGAGCTGAATGATATGGTTCTTATGTCGGGTCGTTATTGTGCGGGGCCCTCCTCGAAGGACACGAAATTGTAGCGATGCAAGGAGGTGGAAGGAAGGGTCTGAAGGATTTTTCAGTAAAAGAACTTCCAACCGTGAGGTGATAAGTTATACGCTATTCGAGCTTATGTGTAGAAATCTTGGGTGAGTCCATTTTGAAGTTTTTGTATCATCTTTCTTAAATTCAAGACCAGGGTTTACTTCTTCCCCATGTACATTTTCTCGATTATACATTTTATTTAATATCTTCTAATTTTCATGTAGAGTGGCAACGTCGCTTCGTTAATCACGGTCGACTGCGGATCGCAAACGATAGTTGTGACAGAAGTAGAAATCTGGGCGGAAAAGGGTATTTTGCCCCAAATCTATTTTGATCCTAATAATATGTTTAATAGTGCTATTCGGTAGTATACCTCAAGCTTTCTTAGTGTTTAAAATATATGCACTTATTTTAAAATCAGCCTGTATACTATTCATCAGCTGACCGACTTGACCTACTTTATATCCTTTTCGTAATATTTTCAAACCACACTTGGTCAAAAGGATCCTAATTTCAATTTAATGCTATGATTGCTATGCTGATAATTTAAAAAAAAAACGCCACCCTCCCCCCTCAATTTTTTTCTGGCGGCGCCCATGATAACGACAGTGCTGAGTGGATACTTTGATATATCCCGAAATATTAAATAAAACTATTTTTCATGTCTGGGTTTTGTATTCATGTCATGGTTCCAATAAACACATAAGAAATAAGTATATAAATATTATTACAGAAAACCCTTAAAAAATCATATAAAAATTCTAACTTTGGTATTTACATATCATATTGTGAAATGTTATACAGGTAATCTTAGACAATACCTAAAACATACCTACATGTCATATGGAATTATCAATTTATTATAAATATAATATGACCTACACAACTAACTACACAAATTTCGAATTTAAAAATTAATCAAAATTGGCCTCTTCGTTAAAAATGAAACCCTAGAAAATAAATGAGATTCAGATCTGAAAATTTTATTATTTGAACATCATAAAGTGCTCGTTCTCACATAAGAAATAGGATCTGGTTCATCAGGTTAGTAACCGCTAATGATTGTATGTTGCTATCAGCAGTTGTGAGATAGTGAAATACCATATTTTCAAGAATCATTTCATACATAATGGGTTTGTTTCAAAGAAAAAGTGTATTCCGTCATTTGAACCTTTTTGCCTGAACATCCTTGCAGACGATCAAACTTTGCGAAAGTTGCGCTTGCTTGATAAAGATTTGGATATCATTAATCCGATCATGTTCGATTAAGATTCTGTTTCGTACAATTGATATCATTATTCCGATCATGTTCGATTAAGATTCTGTTTCGTACAATTGTCTGGATGAGGTGCTTGTCGATGGCTTCTGTTCTTCAAGAAAATTGCTCAATGTGTCTATGCTTATGTGTAAAGATACTATAGAGGCGTAAACTCTTTTGGTGGATAACTATGTCGACATTGTTTTTTTTTTCAGGATCAATCGTGCGCTTAGCGCTCGTTAGGAATCACACCTATTGATCTGCCATCAAATTCTATTTAAATGCCATATTAATCGTTCTAATTGGTCGTAAGCGGGTTTGAGCAAAATTGATTTTTGCAATCTCATTTCACGACAGCACATATCTCTGAAGATTTGTAAATTACCCGCTAGAAATGGTGTGCGACATCAGAATGTGCGATCAATTTCGTCTCGAAATCAATAAATTACCTATCGAGAAATTTCCTTGAGTTGAAAGGTCAATGAAATAAAATGTAATTATTGTAAAACTGCATTAATCAAGCGATGTTTTTTTTTCGAAATTTTTTTTGGTACTTACTTTTTTGTCTGAAACACGAATTTGATAATGAAAATATGAACAAACCACTATTTATCAATATATTTCAAGAAAAAGTTCGAAATTTCGCCGTCTTTTTCCCCTTGTGTTGGATGCATTTACAGCTACTTGCTCTTCTTATTTTGTCATTGGACACTTTATTTACTCATGATGTACTTCAATGACACATTTTAATAAAGAAAATTCAACAGGAAATATGACTTTTATGGCGAGGGCATAAAAAACTATGTTGAGCTATGTGAAATGTCACCACGAGTTTTTTATTCGCGTTGAATAACGAAATATGAAATTCTACAAACAAGGATGTCTTGTTGAATTGGTTAGATTCATCATTTCTGAGTGAAATCAATTTCAACATCACGGTAAATTTTGATTGATTGATTGATTGACCTTACTACACCTTAAGAAACATTGTTGTTCATGATGGGGATATCAAACAGAATATGACAAACAATTGAACAATAAGTGTTTTTCAACAAAAGGAATAACAACATTGACTTCAAGTATTAGTGAATAAATAATTCAAATTATTAGGTATTTCAAGGTAGGACGAGCTACGGCACTTTTTTGTTGCATGAAAACATTGAAGACCTAACCACAAAAGTGGTAATGTCTTCTAAGGATATCGAATTCTACCTCAATATACTCCAAAAAAACAGAAGCTAGTAAGGAAGTATATCTCTCTTTTTCACATCAGTCATTATATCGATAGATCTTCCAGATGAAAAATGTTATTTGATAATTCATATAGAATAGAATAAGCATAGTCTCTCATATTATAATATATAAAAAACTACAAACTACATGAAAAGTAAAAAAATTGATGAGCGAAAAATGGGCATTATTTCTATCCTAATCTAGTGTACAATTATTTCTTCAAAACTTGACAGGCCAACTTTCTTATTAAAAGAGGGTGGACTCAAAATACTTCCAAAGAAGGCCATGTTGGGGTTGAGCTAATCAAGAGATAATTGAAGGGAACCAAAACCCTCTGCTTAAAATAAGATAAAAGGAATCAAAGAATTGCGAAAGTTGATTTGGGTGTGCCCGTTTCAGATTTTGAAAAAATAGCATTGTATAAAATATCATATAATGTGCAATCAAACCTAAAAAAATCAATATAAATAAATGAATATATGTGTGCTCCAGTCAAAAATTTTAATAAAAATAAAGTACTACTTTTTTATTTTTTCTTACTTTTGCCAAGAGTAAGAGTGTGATGACTCTGGCCCATCTGCTGATACTGAGCTTTACGTCTATTGAATTCCACAACTTCATCTTCAAGCTTCTTGCGTGAATCTTCTATCTTCTTCTTTTCTTCAGTATGATCTTTCTTAAGTTTATCAAATTTGGCATGAAGCTGAAATGGAAAAGATTAATTAGGTCTTGGAAACTATGAAATCTGTAGCAAACTTAATTATGTACAGTGCATCGCATTTTGGTTGAGACAGCCAGGTTTCTCGGTTGTTATTTCCTTATCTCGTTGAATTTGTATTTTTTTTTCCATTTCCGTATATAATACTTCATACAATGGATCTCTATAAATGCTTAAAAAAAACTCAAACATCAAATTATTATGAGATTTCGCTAGTGGGCTGTGGATTTTTCATAAAATTGAAGTATAATTTGAAGAAATCTCATTTGTGATTTTTTCAAAAAAAGATGACGAAAAAAAGAAACTGGCACTAATTTACTTATGCGATTCATAAAATATAGGTACCTAGAAACAACAAATGAATAATAGTACATAATTCGTCATAATACTTATAAGAATTATAAGAAGTATCTAATGAATATGATACAGTGTGTCACGCTTTTCATGAATGCACACTAATATGTATATATCAGTTATTAATGATGCGATTTTCTTGAAATTTTAGTGGTGATTGTTTACTAGAACAATGAAGTATTCGGCAGATTAAACAGTTTCATTCACCATTAGCGTGCGATGTTGAGGGGTACAAAAAAGCATTTGTTCTGAAAGAGAATATTAGGGCTTATTTTGAATACATTTTCATCAGATTCAGAATCAATATCCCCAAAATCCCCCCAATCATTTTCCCAAAAAGGCCTTTTTGTACCCCTCAACATCGCACGCAAATGGTAAATAAAAATGTTCACATTGCCAGAACTTCATTGTTCTAACATACAATCACCACAAAAATGTTAAGAAAATTGCATCATTCATAACTGAGGTATTAGTGTGTATTCATGAAAAGCGGGACACATTGTATATAATAAACCACACATGATAATCCTTCAAGTTGAACTTGGAAAACCAATAGCTCATTAGAAATTCATCATAATTTTATATGGTTTTAGCTTTTCTGAAAACCCTATTTATAAAAACTTATACATCATCAAGTAAAATGAATGTACCACCTCCTCGATTAACCTACAGACAGTACTTATACATCATTTTGAAAATGAAAAAATATGGAATTCAAAAAATGTATGAAATACAGGGTGTTCCATCGAAACCATTTCTGAGTACGCCACTGGATTATGCGCAAAATGCACTGTTATAAATAGTTCTTAGCGCTACGTTATTCCATATAACTACGTAGATATAAATGGGGTCCAAAGAATGTGAAATTTTCAAAATCTGATAAGGCCATCTTCTCCCTCTCGTAATATTTGGTGTCACTAGATTTTTCACAAGATTCAATTTCCCAATTCTTCAAAAAAAACAGTATTTTATTCCATGTGCACGAATATAAAAACCCAAGTTATGGTTCAGCTTGGGTTTGTTTTCCTTCAACTTCACTTTACAACAATAGAGAAGATATCATAAGGAGAGACCAAATGAAACAGAAGGAGAATAGTATACCTAACAGTCTACCAAACTTCACGTCTCCTTTTAATGGGACGAACTGGCAGACATTGAAGGTACAAAATGTAGGTAAGTGTCATACAAATTATAGTAGCTTGTTCAGATGATGAGCAGAAGAGCATTCAGAAAAACAAGAGGACTAAAATCCAATGAGGTGTCAGGCATTAACACTCTCAAATGAGCAGAGGATGACAGTTATGGGAACCTGAGGATAGTACATCGATTGGAATAAAACGAAAACTGGAAATCCATTGGTACTTACCTCTTTTTCTGCCTCTTTCAATTCTGCTTCTTTCTCTTTCACTCTAACCACAAACATCTGCCTCATCTCATCTTCTTTTTGCTGCAATTCCTGAAGATGGTTCGATCTTTTCGTTTCAAACGTCTGCTGGAAACTCACTGGTTTGTTGTCCTCGTCCACATCACTGAATCCCATTTGCTCTAAGCGCCTTTTTCTGTACAGCTCATAATGCCTACAATGCGTTTTCTCACGCATATCCTCCATATTAGTACGGATAAGCATCTCCCGGAGTTTGACAAAATCACAGTGAGTTTCATTCTAAAAAGACAAAGAGTTCATGAACACAAACGTAGGTGATGATCAAGTTGCAGTATTCAAATTTCTCTCGAAATTTCTACACCTTCTGCGAATATATGTCATTCCAATATGAATTAGAAGACGATATTTCACAAGAGGTAATAGTTTTATATTCAAAAACATTTCAATTCTGTTTTCTGACAATCTTTTTGTAGTTCTCGATATCTTAAACTTTGCAATAAATAAAAATTGAACAGGAGTAGTTCAACAGCTCTTTATGTCATTTCAATATAAATTAGAAGACGATATTTCACAACGAGGCGATAGTTTTGTATTTGAAAACATTTCAGTTCTGCTTTCCGACAATCTTTTTGTAGTTCTTAATACCTTAAACTTTGCAATAAATAAAAATTGAAGAGGAGTAGTTTAACAGCTATTTATGAGCGTGTGGATTTTGTTTATTTCAAATAAAGAAATTTTTCTCCATAGAAAGTGGCTCTTCTATGACACTTTACAGGCAGTAAATGTGTACTTGCTCCGTACATTATGCTATTTACCAGCAAGTTCGATGCAATGCAATTTTGAATCGAACAATGCGCATGCGTCTATGATATTTCACGGCATGTTTCATGCAAGTTTCGTAATAGAAACAGTCCTATTTTTCCTGCAATTTCAAGGCAAGTTTAGTAAAATGTTTAGTAATATTCATTGTAGCATCTTGATAAAATACAGATTTTCTCCATAACGTGGCCTGAAACACCAAATAACCTCAAATAGTACATTGAAGGCTCAAAAAACCTGAAAATAGTGAATATGAACGAGAAAATATGACAGAAATATCTCAATGTACGGCGACTTGCAATAAAATGAGAAAATTGCGAGAAAATTGCATTGCCTCAAACTTGCAGAGAAATAGCATAATGTACGGCGCCCTTCAGAAAAAGTTTGTTGCCATGCAACAATCCAAGTATTTTGAATGAAATTGGTAATCAAAATCGGTTATGAACTATCAGCTGCGGCAGTCGATCTACTACTTTGCTGCCTAGTTAAACAAATACCTATTTTATATTTTGCATTGACTCGGCCGTTACTTGACGGAAATTCAAAATGTATAAACTTCACAAACGATAAGATTTCCACAAATTCTTTAACACACAACATGTTTCGCTAACAGAGTAGCTTTGTCAGGTGATATACTGGTACTTTCCCAACTTGAAGGATTAATTACCTGTGTAAATGTTCGATACACCTTCATTTTCAGAAATAAGGCACAATATCTACATTAAAATACGGTGTACTGGATTAACTTGAAAGGGTTGTGATAGCAAATAAATATTATTACCTACTAAGAACACAAATTCAGTGGTGAACCATTGAGGCCTAATTGATCGTTAAGTAAAATGTCAAAATATTTGAGTTTGTTGAATTCTGATGATTCAACTGTGGATTTTGTCCTAAGGTATATATCGGTCAGACAGGTCGAACGTTCAATCAGTGCATTCATGACCATTTTTTTATCGCTTGGAATTTATTGAAAAAGAAAACAAATTCAACATACGCCAACCATATATTGAAAGAAAACCATAGTATTGATGATAATTTCGAAATACCACACGTAGAAAATAGAGGAATGAAACTCAATCATTTTGAACCATTAGAAATCAACAAACTGATAAATTGCGACAATTTACTTAACGATCAATTAGACGTCAACAGTTCACCATCGTTGAATTTGTTTTCTTAGTAGGTAATAATATTTATTTGCTATCAACCCATTCAAGTTTATCCAGTACACCGTATTTTGATGTAGATATTGTGCCTAATTTCCGAAAATGAAGGTTTATCGAACCTGTCCACATGTAACTAATCCTTCAATTTGGGAAAGTAGGATATATAAAAGTTAAGCAAGCTAAAGTTGGTTTAGTTCATTGTACCAGTATATCACCTGATGAAGCTACTGTGTTAGCGAAACATACAGGGTACGAGGGCAATGAAGAGGCAGACTCACTTGCCCGAGCAGGAGCAAACAAAGCTCTTAATGGCCCAGAACCCTTCTGTGGTATTGCGAAAGCTATACAAGACTAGTATCAAATCATGGATGCAAACCAAATCTCAAGAATGGTGGAACAACTCGCCAGGAATGAGACAGGCTAAAGAGTTTATTAAAAAATCATCGCCAACATTCACAGAATATCTACTAAGCCAGAAACGAAGTTCAACTAGAATACTAGTGGGACTTCTTACCGGGCATTGTAGGCTCAACAAACACATGAGTACGATAGGTCTGACTGAAAAACTGCTGTGCAGGTTCTGTCAAGAAGAGGAAGAAACAGCAGTACACATACTTTGCCACTGTGAGGGCTTGTCAAGACTAAGGTTCCTTACGCTGGGTGAGGAAAAACCAGGAGCCCAGAGATACACAGGAGATCTGAAAGCTAGCCTATGGAGTCTCATAGAGAAGGCGGGGCTAGCCGAAGAACTCTAATCGATTTTGAGGGCAGACACAATAGATCTTAAAAGGTCGCAGTGTGGAGGCAGATAGCCCGAAGGCCCCATTCCAAATCTAATCTACTGTGTTAGCGAAACATGTTGTGTGTTCAAGAACTTTTGGAAATCTTATCGTTTGTGAACTTTTTACATTCAACTATTTTATAGTTTCTGTTTGGTTTTTTTTGACACCCAAAATTGATATTTGCAATATTATCATAGGCAAACTTAAAGCAGGTGAATGCAAAAACTAGAGCAATATCTATCTTCGAAATATTTTTTCAAGATACTACTGATAGTGAACGTGGAAATAATTTCTAAGCTTCATTTCATTCATAATGACAAGGTGGAGATTCATTCATTTACGGTACACTTGTTTTCAGTGAACATGTTGCGGTTGGACGGTATGAGCGGTGATACTGCAGCGGTGATTGAGAGAGCAGACACCGTCAATGTGCGACATGTTCTCTGAAGACGACTGTACCCATCAATACGTTGCACTTACACACAGATGCACTTACCTCTACTTGTACCGTACCCCAAGGATATTGTCTAGCTCTGACCATTTTATTTGCGACCCTTATGAAATCTGTACTACCAATGACCGCAAATGGAATATGAGAATTCATGTTTGTATTTACTTCAGAGACAGATTCATCATCAACTGGAAATTCGTAGATCGACACTCCATTATTCTGTAGTTCAGCCATTATTTTCGACTTGAACTTCTGCAGTTCGGTTTTTGAAATAGTGTCAGCTTTGGCGATAATAGGAATGACATTGACTTTTTGATCAAGCTGCTTCATACAAACTAAATCTATCGATTTCAAACCATGTCCTGTAGGACAGATGAAATAAAGACAAACGTGAGTTCTCGAATCATGGTACGTGGATAGAGATCGCTTGATTTTCAGTTCCTCCTGAAGGTAGTTTTCAAATTGGGCATCAATGTAATCAACAATAGCTTTAAAACTATCTTCTTTGTTGATTTGGTCTCCATAACCAACTGTATCAACAATGGTTAGCTGTGAATTAATATCAAATAATCAATAATGAGCCAATATACTATTCATGGTAAAAATATTAATACTAAAATTACTAGATTGTTTTATTAGGATCAAAAGTGATACTTTGTCTGATAAGCAAATTTTGCGAGTCAAGCAAAGTCACTTTTGATCAGAATGATATTCCTGCGACCGAAAGAATCAACTAAAACAAATATGTGAAGTAACCACCAATGCCGTGCCATATGTATGCAATGCAACAAATGTGGTGAGAATATTCTACCTGCATCAACAGATCAGGTTTATTCAATTTTCAAGGATGTTCGAATTAGAGTTTCAAAATAAATACAACCACAGAGTGGACCCATTTGTGTATGGACCAAGTGTCAGCCCTAATAGCAAATATACCGAGCCAGTGCTGAGTATAGGAGAAAGACGTGGAAAATGTTAGGATAGTGAGCATTTCAATAATAATATAATGAATGAAATACAGATCGAGCAAGTATGTGAATCTTGAAGGCGTCCCTGATCAAAACAAAAAACTATAATATGGTGTATTTTAATCTCCAGCATGTGTATGAAATGCCAAATCTGCCGAAATCGGAAACAAATCAGGTATGCGTCCCAACCCAAATAACCAACCGTAATAATGTTGTTTATTCTTGATGGCCTCTAGTACAACCTTTTCAGTTCCTAGGAGGTAAAGTTCATATTTAGCTCCTAGGAACTAAAAGTGTTGCCTAGCAATATACCTATGTTTGTGTCAGTAATAGAAACGTCAGTTCAAGAGCTAATTTTGGGATCAAAATGGACGACTTTTGTGTCGGTTGCAGAAAAAGTGTTTTTTTGTGACGGAAAAAAAGTTGGACATTCCATCTCTCTTGATAGGTTATGAAATTTCACTTTCCATAAATTACTTTTTTCCCACTGGAAAAAAGTTTGTACTTTTCTCCCGGATATACAGGGTGTCCGAAAATTATGCGCAAAAAATCAAGGGGTTGATTCTGCATGAGGAAACATGAATTTTTCCATATATACGTGGGTCCGGTAATGCATAGTTTTCAAGATACAGTGTGTTAAACTTTTTAGAAAAAATCGTTTTTTTATGAATATCTCAAATATGCTTCCACCGATTCTCTTGAAATTCGGCAATGATATTCTTTGTAGTGGGAGGCTGATTTAACCAACATCAAATTGTCATTGTGAAATCCAGTGGCTTCCCGGGGGCACCCTACGAAAATTATTGTCAATAAAATGTGCGCCACTGATTTTTTTCAAATTCTATATCTTCATATCCTAATGAATAACTGAAAATACAACATTTTGGTCTCTTGAATTGTTTTGCTATTTTGCTGCGTTGTCGTGGAAAAAAATAAAAACCAATTCATTGTATGAATTCGTGCAAAATATTGCTCCAAAAACATGGGTGAAATTTAAATTTGTGATCATTTCCATAGACGTAAAGAAATAATGAAGATTTATTTTCTTCAAATATTATATAATTCATGTTTGACACACTTTGTATTATCGAAAATTACATGTTCCTGGACTGAGAATACATAGTTCTCAATATACAGAGTGAAGAGTGTGTCAAACATGTATCAACAAATATTTGAAAGAGATGAATCATCATACTCATTCTATGTCAATGGACCTTGATCACGCATTTATTTCCACCCCAGTTTTTGAAGGAATTTTTAGGCACAAATTTATGCAATAAATTTGTATTTAATTTTCTCCATGGAAATGAAGCAAATTATCAAAACAATTCAAGAGACCTAAATGATATATTTTTTGTTGGTGAATAGGTTATGAAGATACAAAATTCAAAAAAATCAGTGGCGCACATTTTATCGACAATAACATAATTCCAATTGAAGTATGGCTATATCAGCTCCCCATGATTGAAAATATCATTGCCAAATTTCAAGAAAATCGGTGGACGGACATTTAAGATATTCATAAAATATCGATCTCTTTTAAAAGTTTTAACACACTGTATGTTGAAAACTATGCATTTCCGGACCCACGTACATATGAACTGAATTTCTTAAGAGATACGAAGATGGTTGAATCAGAGAAAAGTTGCGCATTTTTGAGCCTAACAATATGCCGTTTGAAGCATTTCAAAATGTCGAGTATTTACGGAAAACCGAAATATGGCGATTTCGTTTTTATTTTTTTCTGACGTTATTGTGTACCAATCCATTTTGCCGGAAATCTATTCAATATATACTCGGGCACGATTAAGGCATTGTGCGCGGGTGCACCATCCTGCTGAAACCAACAATTTCTAACCGTTTCTAACCTTTGCAAGCGTTAAGTTGTCCTAGGCTCCTTCCAAATCGCATTCCAATAAGTTGTGGTAATGCTCCAAGGTAGGGGAATTGTAGAAAAAAGGGACTATTAAATCTGTTCCAAAAATCCCAACCCACATATTAACCCTTAATTACTTGCACTGGTGTATTTTGTACACTAGCGCCAAATTTCTTGCTACCATCAAACGTAGAATTTTTTTTGTGGCTCTAGACTCCCACCTAAACTATGTCTTACATGTCTGGGATGTGATAGATCAGTTTTGTGTGTTTGTAGGTGAATTTTGACGCGTTGTCACGTTGGTGCCTAGAATACAATACACTGCATGGGAAATAGAGTGAATTATCTAAGTATTCAATATTGTATAGGAACAGGCACTAAAAACTTTTTTTTAATTGCATTTCCTCATTGGACCCAGCACTGGATCCAACGCCCCATAAGTCGAAACTTGTGTGGGGTTAGGAAAGCATACGTATTTGTTTCACCTGAAAACAAGTCAAATTCATGGTGGTGTACAAAATACACCGCGCGGGAAAAAGTTCGAATTAATTAGCGCGAGTAATCAAGGGTTAAAATATATTATGGAATTTTTGTTTTTGAAAATTGGTGGTTGGGTTCCAAATTAGAAGGGTGTTGCAGATTGAAATAGCACAAACTGTATATATATATACAGGGTGGGCCACCAGTAACGCCTCGGTCTCTAGAAGGCTAACCACTTATCTTCTTGGAATTCTTCCTCTCTAGGAAGTTGCATGTCAACATAGGCTACCATTTGAAATTATTTTGAAACATACAGAATGTCCCCAAAAATCACAAAACACTGAAGTTGAACTTTTTTCAATGGCACCCCCTATATATTATTTCATTTTGAGATTTTCCCTGGTGAGCTGATTTAAACAATCCATCATACTTGGGGTCTAGCAGTTATAATTATTGAGATATAGGGTGTGAGAAATCAAGATTTTCCAAGTTCAAGAATTTTTTGTGTCTAAACCATTCATAATTGGTCAAAACGGCTCACATGTCCCTATCTCAACTTTTGATCAACTATCTACTGACATTTAATTGAAACAAATACAGGGTGGTACAGAATTCAGAATCTTGATCACCCGGTATATGTCCCAATTAAATATCAGTAGATAGTTAATCAAAAGTTGAGATAGGGACATGTAAGCCGTTTTGACCAATTATGAATAGTTTCGACACAAAAAATTCTTGAACTTGGAAAATCTAGATTTTTCACACCCTATATTTCAGTAACCCCAAGTATGATGGGTCGTTGAAATCAGCTCATCAGGGAGAATCTCAAAATGAAATAATATATAGGGTGTTCAGTAGAAAAAAGTTCAACTTCAGTGTTTTATGGTTTTTGGGGACACCCTGTATGTTTCGAAATAATTTTAAATGGTAGCCTATGTTGACATGCAACTTCCTAGAGAGCAAGAATTCCAAGAAGATAAGTGGTCAGCCTTCTAGAGAACGAGGAAAAGAAGAAATTTCACTAGAGTTGAAGATATACAGGGTGGTTCATTTGAAAAAACGAATTTGGACTTTTTACATCATTTAGCAATTAGCATAATTTTGTTCCTTTAAGGAGTGCCAAAAGATAGTACAGATGAAATCCTCAGACTTTTATACTTCAAGTTTTTTTTTTCACCTCTTATAGTAAAAACTGTAGGTAGGGGCAAAATATATGGAGACATTTCCCAATGTGGCATATAAAAGAAGGCTTCTATTTACATAGATTATTGCCAAACATATAATATCCTTACCTTGAGACGTACATTACTCTCTTGTAATTCATATGTTTGAGCTTTCAATTTAACTGAGGGTAGAGAATGGGGACTGGGAATAGATTCAAAATTAGTGTTGAAGAGTGAATCCATTAGAGTGGACTTTCCCAATCCAGTTTCACCTAGAAAATATTGTGAGGATGAGTTTGAATTGTGTTGTTCATAATTCAGAGGATATTATATGAATTGTATCGTTCATAACAAAAACAGAAAAAGGAGTAACTAACCAATGCACATAATATTGAAAATAAAACCGTTCTGGACACTTTTTGATACCAGTTGATCTGGTAAACTGTCAAATCCTACATGGCCAGAGAGTGTAAGGCTCCTCAACTGTGTTTCCACCTACAAAATTTCTATAATCAATTTTTGAATTTGAATATTAAATTTGTGATGATGGTAAGAATAATCCCATATAATACAGTGTACTGAATTGTGTGTGAATTTTCTGTAGCATAACTGCAAGGAAATGTTTGTGATGCTGGAATAATTTCAGAGATAATGTCTAAGACTTGTTTTTTCTATAAACTAAGGAACATGCCAGGGATGGCCTTACAGGCAACAAGACTCTATTCTCAAAAGTACATGATCAAAATAACTCCATAAAATATCAATATTTCAAGTATGGAAACTACAAAAATTGCAACAAAAATACATGATTAGGCATTAATGAACATCCCTGTCTTCCTGAAAACACAGAAATCTATCTGTGCATTCTGAAGTAAACATCTTCATATAAAATTTGCCAACGCCTATTTTCAGGCATAGCAATTACCTATTTCTAAAATGTTAACATATAAGATTATTGTGTTACTATGTCGGCAATAACCAATAATTTACTTACAGGAGGGGCATCTACTTCAACAGGAGGCATTATTATATTTCACTTCACAAGTCTCCAAAATATCAAAATTTCAAATTCAAGAAAATATTGAAAAGGTAAAATTGTTGATTGTTGTTCCAATAATTGTCAACAAACTGAGTAGTGAGTAATGAGCAGTGTTGCCAGAAGAAAAATCTAATTGTACTGAAATCACTATTGAGTTGTACTAAAATCAAGTGTGAAATGTACCAGAAATGAAATTTCGGAAAAAACAATATTTTTTCTCATTATCCAATGCCAGAAATAACTACATCATTATATAATGGAAGAAATTGAACAAAATGAAGTGAAATGAGAAATATCCTCAATTACATAGCCAAAAAGATGCAAAACCTAACATAGAAAATGAATATATAATAATGATGGTGTAATTACTGATGAGCTTCTCTAGAACAGCGAGAGCAATGGTTCCGTCGATCTTCAAATATATGGTGACATTGGACAATTATGACATCTGTCAGTTTTGGAATTTTCGCAGATTTTTCGAATTCAGATGAAGAATCAACGTCCCGCTCGTTGTGACGTAGAGAAATCATAGTAGGCGGTCGAGTGATTCTTCTGAAATTATCAATACGTAATAATGGCCGAATACGAGCATCATATCTTATTTCCATCATATAAATGAAAAAAATCAGAAAGAAAATATGGCATAATAATATCTCTTGATCGGTGTTATCCTTACAAAATGGCTCGTAAGAATGATGGAAATATCTCCATCATTCTCAAGAGATTCAAAAAAAAAACACAGCACTATTCATATAAAATGACTGAACAGTCGTATTCAATGAAAATGCGTACAAGTATCAAACATAGATTATTTTGGCATTCTAGTTCTCGTTATGTAAAATTGGCTCAGCCAATGCTTTGTGTTTTTGAGAACCTAGATTACCCTACTGTCAACATTTGGTGAACATTCATTCCCGATAGCCTGTTCTACGCAAATAGAATGACGCTATCTTCTCCCTCCAACTTGTACGCCTTTTTTCAATACGACTGTACATCAAACACCTAGAAAAACTAGAAAAAACATCAGGAAACAGTACAGTACTGACAGTTGTGACAGTTAGAGTACTGCACTAATGTACTGAAGGGTAAATATTGTACTGAATCTATACAAATGTACCAGCTCTGACAACACTGGTAATGAGTAATGACAATTGACAAGGAATCATGATTTTTCTGACATAAAATCATAAAATAGAAGAAATCGTCATCTGTCATCAACATCCTATTCGTCTGAGGATCAACATCTACAAATGATACGAGTGGATCGCAACAAGAGCATATGGCAGGAGGCTGTCGCTGAATTCTGGCCCGGTGTTATTTAAGCGGCAAGCGACAAAGACTAGAGTCTAGCCATAGCACCAGTGCGAGAATATTGCGCCTGGTGCACAGGTCGCTGGGCGCGAGAAATTGCAGCGAAACAAAAATAAATAAGTCATTGTGAAATGATATTGCGCGTCGCTCGCTGCTCGCTGGGCGCGAGAAATTGCAGCGAAACAAAAACAAATGAGTCATTGTTGTGAAATGATACATTAGACAACTGCCTTCCTAGTTGATACCATGTTACAAGGTGATCCCTAGAATCGTGACACACCTCAAATCAATTTATTCAAATTGAATTAACACTGTACTGTTCATAATTATTACATATATATATCCCCAGATAGCACGAATATTCTCAGAATATTCTTACAAGCTGCGAAAATGTCATCTTCTAGAATAATATTCTGAAGAATATGCATAGAAAGTTCTCAGTATGTTGCGAATATTCATGGAATGTTCCATGCGAATATTCTGATAGAATTACATGAAAGTACATTCCTAGAAGCTCCTGGGATATAATATTCCAGAATGTTCATTAAATAATATTTTCAGAATATTGTGAACATTCATGGAATACTTTGCGAATATACTAATGATATTCTGACAATATGTTCCAATGAGCTTCTGAAATGGAATATTCTAGAATGACAATGTTCAAATATACTTATTTCAGAATATTCTAACATAATGTCCTTAAAATGACCATAAAATATTTTCATCCTCAACGAATATTCTATGAACATTCAATTTGACATAGATACACAAGAATATTCTTTTCGAATATTCTGAGAATATACAGAATCGTATCAAATTATGAAATTGATGTTATTATTCATGTATTGATATACAGTTCGAATGGCAACCAACAAATCTCCTTCCCGTGATACATGATTCGCCGCCAATTAAGGGTATTGGGTATTCTTTTACCATTGATGATCTTTATTGTTTCGCTCCAATATTTGTCCCGCGCCGCACGGCCGCAACCCTTCTCGCCTCGCTTCTCGCGCTCGGCGAGCGAGCGAGCAAGCAACGAAATTTTCTGTTTCTCGCGCCCAGCGACCCTGCGCACCAGGCGCAATATTCTCGCACTGGTGCTATGGCTAGACTCTAGTCACGGATTCCACTCTGCTTCGAGACTTCCGCGTGCGCCTAACGTTGACCACTTGGCAATAAACATATTTTTACAACTACGATAGCCAAGTGAGCTACGTGCGTGAGTTTAGATGGAGAGATCCTGGGCTCAAATCCTACCTGACCATTTTCTATTTTTTCTTTCTATTCCATTTTCCTTTCTTCCTGAACTATGTGCTGTGGAGGCATCAAGCTCTCGGCCAGAAATTTTGTTCATTGTTCGGATGAAGTCTCAAATCAAATTGGAATATGTGTTGCTAGTCGCCTGTGCGCTGTGTTGCCAGGCTGAAAAACTGAACTATTGTAGGAGTTCAGTGGGTTGGAAAGCAAACATGCACAATCGACTGCTTTTTTCGTTTTGGAGGTTGTTCACATTGAGTTCATTGATATCAATATTAGGATAAGATCGTCAACGCCAAACGTGTGTTCGGAAGCGAAGCATTCGAGAAAAATATTTCAAATAATGAATGATGAACGAAATCGAACCTAATGCGAGTTCGTTCGAAAAGCTCAACATGCTCAAAAAATCATGATGATCACCTCATCTGACTTCACTGATTTTATTTTTATGATTCAGTAGGCGCTGTGCACATGACCGACCCTGGAGGCAAAATATTGAAACACAACCTCACTCTTCTGTGAATTATTGTGAAACACATCCTCACTTTTTTGAGGAATCAAAGGATTGAAATAGTTTTTCACAATATCTTGGCATACAAATCGTGTTTTTTGCTCTATTCATCAATTCAAGCATGCCCTATTATTCGTATTGTGCTGTTGTACAAGGCACAAAAAATGTGGCGAGAGACGAAGAAATATGCTTCTTCAGGCAAATAGTAATCTCACATAGTTTTCATTATGAAATGTTGTCATTTTCTGTTATAATTTCTTCTGCCACTTCTGCAATACAAGCTAATATACCTACTGCTAATAGATTGAAAATGTCTACAACACACACATATTTCGTCAGCATGTCAGCATGTTAGACCAGTCCTGCCGTTTGATTGCATGAATCCAATCTTCTTGCATTATTTTAGAAATTTCACGAGTATTTCTATAAGGTCCTATTGCAGAAGGAATTCCGATGGAAAATCAGAGAAATTACCAAATTTCAAAAATGAAAACTATAAGTATGAGTGACTATAGTAGGTACTTACTTTTGAATCATATAATATACCAACGGGATTCCTTCGTCTTCCACAGCAGTTTTCGCGCATTGTACAACAGCACAATGTGATGGCATGATGACCGAATCAATAAATAGCCGAAAAATTCGATTCGTATGCCAAACTAATTGTGAAAAACTATTTCAATCACTTGTAAATAAATGAGAAAAGTGAAGTTGTGTTTCAATGTTCCTTCCTTCCTTCCTTTCCTCCTTCTTTGTACAGGGCGTCGCGACCCCGTGTGAATGGGCTCAACCTTTTTGGTTATTTACCCAGGTGCTCCTTGTATGTACTTTATTAGTATTTAGGGCTGAAGTTGCACTTGGGTACGTCTGACTCTGAAGTCATCACTTCTTCCCTGTTTGGAAAACCATGAGTTAGTTATAAGTTTAGTTTTATTGCTTTTAGATAAGAGGCTACGAGTAATGCAGTGTAAGCTGTAGGGTTTGAAAGCAGGTCTTCTAAGGCTAAAGCAGAGTGAGTTGGTGTGTTATGCCTATAGCAATCATTTTAACATATAGGATGCGGGAACTAGCTGTGTGATTAGGGCATTCTAGCAGGATGTGCTGAATGTTACCATAAGCACCACATGTACACAGAGGGGAGTCCTTCAACTTGAGTCTGAACAAATGGGCTGGAGAGGGGCAGTGGCCCGACCTGTGCCTTCACATCGTGGAAGCTGTGTGTCTGATTATGTCTTCTTTATAGAACCATGGTTTTTATTTGGAAACTTTCCCATAAGGTTAAATAGCGTTCTCCCTTTCATCTCACAATCAAGCTCTACCCATTCCTCGTTCCATATTTCATAGATTTTCTTCCTCACTCTTGGTAATAAATCCCGCCTATAATCAACCACTTCGTAGTCAACACTTGGCTTGAGGGTACCTCGTTTAGCAAGGAGCAAGGTTGTCTGCTATGTTATTCCCCGGAATGTTAGTGTGACTTGGTATCCACCCCAGTTTTATACTGATGTTACTTTTTCTCGGTTTTTCTATGTATTTCCAAGTCAATAGCGTGTGATAATCTGCTGATGGATTGATACCCTTCTTGGATAGCTTTTGGAGAGAATTTAATGAGTCAGTATAAGAATGAGGGGATTATCAATTTTTCCTTCACAGATTTTCTTAGCTGTTGTCGAGATCCCTAGCATTTCTGCAGAGCAGATTGGGGAGTTGTCCGCTATCCGAATTTTGATGTTGCAGTTTACCCTGGGAATATGGACGACAAAAGCTACTTTTGAAGTACATGGGTCGGACTAACCATCAGTTAATAAAAGGGTGTTCGACGTAAAAGTTTCTCTGATTATTCTGTTGAAGTCAGAGCTGTTGTCGATGTTGGTTTTTTCCAGACCTAGGTTGAGATACTCAATTTCCATAATTTGTGTGCTGTAATCGGAGTCGAAGCATGGCAGGATCTGTTGTTTTTGTGTTGCTTCTATGTGTGGGAGACATCTGTCCAGCCCCTCGAGGATATAGGGATTCCCACCCAACTGTCTGCATTACGCTCACAGA